AACAAAGCGACATCCCTCAATGGGTTTTTTGTGTGGGGAGGGTTTGTTCCGTGGGCACATGACATGTTCCGTGCCCCCGGGGGAGAATGGAGGAAAGTAACAAAACTGGGCCAATATTTTTTACGAAAAAAAAGTCGGCGATAATTGAAATTCACGAAAACAGCGCCCAACGAAAAGGGAGGGTCCACTGTATTGTATTGAAGGTATAGTAAGGTGTCCCAAACCAAGCTTGTTCTGTTGCTTCTTATTTCATCTATATTTGAGGAGTTGCATACCATTTGGTCTAAGAAAACACCACATGGAATAAAATGTGAAACCATAGGTATAATATCACACTTATTCAGCAAAATATTTTTGTAGCTACAGATTGAGTTAAAATTGTAGTACAGGTTGGCCATCACTAATTTGGTTAATCAGTTACCCAGTTCCATCAGTAATCTGGCACTAATTTTGGCTAGCATAATTCAAATTTCATCATTTATCTGACCCAAATTTCATCATTATACTGACTTAGAAATTATGCAGATGGTTGCAAATCCACAGCAGCAAGCCAGTGGAGGAAAAAGCAGTGATGAAAATGAGGAAGATGTAGCAGTCTCTTTATTGATAGGTTAATTAACCACTCTGTATCTGGCAAACTCACTAATCCGGCAAACTACAGGTCCAATGATGCTGGATTAATGATGGCTGACCTGTAATTAGAAAATAGGCTTCATTAACTTAGATTTAAATGTACTCAGTTACTATACAATTTGACTTGAAATATATTATATAAACACGCATTATCTCCATGGGGAAGTGGAACAGAATTCTTCCTCGTAAGCCATGGGTGTCGTAAGTGGCAACGAAAATGCTGGGAGCAAGGAGTTAGTAACTCCTTCTCCTGTATACATTACTGAAGTTGAAAAGAGAAACTTATGTTTTTCTTTTTGGGTCCCCTGCTTTGGTGGGTTGCTGCCGGTACGTTGAAAGAAGAAAGAAGAACACACTTTATCATGTGTGGGGGAAAAAAATGTTGTCTACAAAATATCAGTGACATGTATACTGATTTGGAGTGTTGCCCTCACTTCGATTATAATTCAGTACTTTTAGCTGGTTATTTCTGTGTAGAATACAGGCTGTGGGGGTTATGACTGTTGTGTTAGTGGTCTCTGTTCAGTCTTGAATCCAGCCTAGGACCTGCCACCTCATCCTAGATTAACTGAAAGTAATGGGTACATACCTCTATGCTACACAGAATGCAGTGTGCAATATCAGACAGTTGCAATGGTAAGTCTCTGGCCATGGTAGTGGCTACCCCTGTGCATGTGTGTACAACCTGTATGCATTCGCCAATACTCGTGTGGTAGTGTTGGGGGCTGGGAATACCTGAGAACTACCTGTTGAGTCCTGCAATTTCCTGTTCCAGCTACGAGATTCCGGTCGTGATGAGACAATTTGGGTCGTGTAAGGTAATGAATTATTTCACTGTGTGGTTGTGGGTAAGTGGCTTGCCTCGATCACTGCTTGAGTGTGACTGCGTCCCTAGGCCATCCAAGCCTAGTGTGGCAACTGTTGGTGGGAAAGGTAGTGTCTACAGTGTGAGGGAAAAGTTCAATAGATAGAGTGTAGCGAGGGAGTATATAGTAACAAAAGTTTCATTGCTGGCTACTTGTTAAGGTAGGGCAAGTCCAGCTCCGCTATTCCCCCCCCCACCCTTTTTCCCCCTCCCCGAAAGTGATAGTTTGCTTGCCGGCTACTTGTTAAGGTAAGGTAAGTCTAGCTCCCACTATTCCCGCCTTTTTTCCCCCACCCCAAAAGTGATAGTTTGATTGCCGGCTGCTTGTTAAGGTAGGGTCAGTCTAGCTCCCGCTATCCCTTCCCCTCCTTCCCCCCCCCCCCCGAAAGGTGACGTGTGGGGCTCCGGTCCAAACAGTAATCACTAGACTCACAGCTCCCAGCACTACGTGTAAGTACATGCGTGCCTTGTATTCTAGTGGATTTATTGGTTGAAAGCTTCACTTTGACCAAATAATAAACTTAGTCCTTTCAGTCTTGCTCTAAGTTGACTGTTGTAATGATCACCACGTCTTTTAGGTATTGTACTTATCATGGAGAGTGATTTCTTAAGCAGTGGGTAACCTGTCTATCTTTCCAGCTTGGATGACAGAGAGGGTCACCTGCCAATCAACGAGTAGAATTGAAGGAGACGGACTCACGTTCTGAGATGTCCCAAATTTTGATCCACTTACCTGTTTGTGTATGCAAGTAGCAGGATATAACCCCTCATCATTGCAGTGGAGAAAACCTGCTTTCCTGTCATCTGGAAGGATTATTGAAAGCTAGAAAATCTGTGAAGAACGAGCCGGTGGGTTGTCATCAACACCTGCGACCCCCCCCCCTCCCATCACCAGCAACGGCTACGATTTCAACAACACGCAGTGTCACCAACACCAGACACCCACGTTTTATATACATTTATATTAGCGTTGAATTCAGTTATCGTTTATATTTTCCAATTTTCTTTTTTTTAAATGTAGGATTAATATTTATATTTAAGTTTTTTTTTTTTTTTAAAGTAATAAAGTGTTTATGTTTGTCAGTTTTTATTCTTTTTTATACTTAATTTTCCCTGAGGGGGCCGCCTTGGTTTTTACGTCGGTTGTTTACAGGGGGGGGAAAGCCTTCACAACGTGCATTTGTGGGCAGTGTAAATTACACCCCTTTTCCTCATTAGGCTTTCGATGCCCTTCGACCAGTAAGATCCCTAAAAAAGTATTTTAAGTTCATTTCCCTCTATTTGTTTTTAAATTACAGTACATCTGTTTTAAAAATTTAGAAATATATCCAGAAATGTTTAAATGGTGAAAAGGTGACATTAAAACAGTATCACAGATAGTCGAAAAAAAAACCCCTACCATTATAGTATGCCCCTCACTTAGCGACAAAAGAAAAATTTTTACCGACGTGGTCCTAGGAAGGAACTCCGTTTTTTTGTGAGGGAGATTTATACTATTTAAAGCTGAAATGACAAAATAATCTAGCCTAAAAAAGTTTAGTGTAATGTAAATACACCCTGGGGAGGCCCTTGTTACTAAGCTAAGTTTAGAAGTTAAGTAGATACAAAAAAACGATGGTATCCCCCTTCTATGGCAAAAGTCTCTTCTCCCTAACCCCCCTAAACCTGGGGTAAGGTTTTTTTTTAACGGTCGTCGGGGAAACCGCAGGTTTCCCCCTACAATTTTTTACAAGAAATAAAAAATTATTGAGCGGGTTTTGCTTTAAAAGTAATTACAAAAATGTTTCATGACTTTTTATGTTTGTTACTGTTGCTTTTGCACATTCAAATATTGTAAAAGTGAGTTGTCTGAAAAACAGAATTTAGCTTAGTTGTGCATTTTTTCCGTTTTCATTTGTCAAAATAAGTAAAAAAAGAATTTTTTACATTATACAGCCTTTCCCATTGCAAACGTTTCTCTTTATCAATGGCCCGGGCTTGGGAAAGGATCCCCAGGTTTCATACCCAGAATGTATATTAGAAAATGATTTTCCCCTATTTGTTTTTCTATTATAACCCCTGTTAAACATTTAAAAATATACCATTTGTTATAAAAGGTGCAAGGTGGCCTTTAAAACAGTTCAAAGATGGATGACACAAACCCACTACCATTATAATGTGTGTATGCTCCCCACTTAGTGATAAAATTTTTTTACTGACTGGTCTTAGAAATGGAACTTGTTGTTAAGCGGGAGAACTGCAGTAATATATTTTAAGTATAACAGCTACTAAATTAGTGTTATAATTGTATGTATTGGATGTTCTTGTATGTTAAGTTTTATAAGGCATGTTGGTGTTTAAATCTCATTTTTTTTTAACACGTTGGCTGTTTCCCACCAAGGCAGGGTGACTCAAAAAAGAAAGACTTCAATTCAGAATTTAAAATGTTTTTTGCAATAATGTCAATACATTCCAGGGGCTATGATCTACCGAGGGTTTCTTTTCTGAGAAGAAGAAAAAGCTGAAGATCCTACACATGCTGATACAACTGAGTGCCTTCATTTTCTCCATTGTTGGGCTTGTAGCTGTATTTGATTTCCACAATAAGAGCCACCCACCAATTCCTAACATGTACAGCCTGCACTCATGGGTTGGACTCTGCACTGTCATATTATTTGCATGTCAGGTATGCTACATCTGTGAATGTTAATTAATCCATAAGGATTTTCATGCTGTATTAGTATTATGTTACCAGGAGCCAATGATAAACCCTTATAATTTCTGTATTCTGTATATACAGTAGACTGTGGGATTATGTGGTAGTTACATTCTTGAAAATGGCATTTAATGATAAAAATTGTGTAAACCAGACTGAAGAACATAAAGGAAAAATAGGGTTGTGTTCATTAAATCCACAAAAAAGCCAACCAAAATTTTAAGAGGACTCACAAAATCGTAAGGACACAATTGCAAACAAACCTTTACTCTGATCGCGGGTTCTATCCTGCCCGTGGTATGGTTTATTTTAAGAGGTTTCAAAATTGTAAGAAACAGTGATAATGTAATTGAAGGTTGATGTGGTTATGTGCATCAAAGATCCTGCAACCACATCTCTGCTAGCAAAACAGGCACTTTGTTCGGTTGCCCTACTTGTTGCAACTGCATGGGGGTTATAAAGCAGGGGTTAGAGCAGTTGTGTGGGGGTGGGGGATTGGGGGCTGCTGTTCTGGGAGATGAAGACCAATTGGTGAAGAGTAGGAGCTGAAAGTTAAGGATGCTGGGCAATGGAGGGGTGTGTCATCTGGAAGCAAACAAGGCAGTGTAATGGTGACTGTGGGAGTGGCACTGTCAGTGGACTGATAAGGTAAGAGAGATGTGGGTGGTGTGTGAGTGTGCAGTTGTTGGTGTTGGCAGTAATGAGGGTGGTGGGTGGCTACATGACTAGGTGTGTATGCCATGAAACCATGGGTAAGGTGTGGGAGCATAAAACTGTAGAGGAGCTGTGTAGGTGAAAGTTATGGTTTTCAGTGGCCCAGTGTGGGCAGTGATTGGATAATGGGTGACTGGGTGGGTGGCAATTGTATAATGGGGGGGACTGGGTGGGTGGGCGGGCAGGTGGGTCGGTGAATTTGTGTCGTTGAACTAATGAACGAATAAGTTCAGGTAAGATCCCAAATGGGAAAGACGGGCCAGAGAAAAAAGCGCTGGAAGGAGTGTTCTTAGCGTAAAATAGAGCCGGGGCTTAACCCACACAAGGCGATCGGGACAGATTTGAAAAAAAATTTCAGGCTCTTCTGTTGGGACTCGGGGGGGTACGGAAGGGATGGGCGAAGATTAGCGCTAAAAGAGTGAAAATTTGACCATGTTTTAAACCCCAAAAAAGCTAAGGCGAACGTGGGTCAAAAAGGTACCTGTCAGAAAAACCCAAAGGTTTTTTTTAAATGGGGTTAGGGGGCAGGATCATCAAGGAGTAGAAAGGGTTGTGTTGGTTTTTGTGGGGTCTGCGAAGTCTTCAAGGAGAGGTCCAGTGTCATGTGTCTTAAGTTTGTCTAAACTGTCATTTTGAGCGGGTCTTTCCCCAGTAAGATTAGGAGGGGGATGTCCTTTTGGGAATGAGAATTTGTGGGAAGCCCCCCCATTGTGCCCCCCAGGTTTTTCTGGACTCGCTCATTTTTAGTAAGTTTTTTTGCTGAAAAGGGGCTAAGGGGGAAGTAAGTTATCGGGAGGTTTTAGGGATTTGAAAGGGGTTTTAGGGGCGTTGGGACCCAGTTTGTTGTGGGGCCCGCGGGTTATGTATTGCATGCTTAGTAAGTTCCTTAAAAGGGGTATCAAAAATTTAAACGCCAAGGACAGTGATAGAGGTATTGGGGAAAGTCGGGTTCACTTTTGACTTGCGGGAAGGGAACACGTTTCCTGATTAAAATATGAAATGCGGGTTTTTAGCTGCAATGTTTTTTACCTCATTTTTGTTCCCAGTGGCTATCCTTCCCCTATTTTTGGGTTTTTTGTGAGGTCATATTGGGTGAGTGTAATTTTAAGTCTTCTGGCTTTATTTGGGGTTACTGGGGAACGAGTATTGTAGGAAAGGGGAAAAAGATCCCGGGGGTTGATTTGGGGGTTTATAAAACAGTTTTGGAATTTGATTCTCAGGGTTTGGGGCTTTGGGAAAGTTGCAGGGAGTTCAAGATGAGAGCTTTAAATTTAGTCCCGATTTGTATTGAGCCCTTTCGTCCCGACAGGTCAAAGCTTTTCAACGTCTTTTGCAACCGGGCTGTCCTGTTTCTTTTTTTGTGTTTGGGGATGAGTTAGAATGATGTTAATGGCACCTGTTGGACTGAGGTTCTGAAGCCAAAAATGGCCCTAAAAGTCGAGAGTTGTGTTTCCCGTATCTGCAAAGGCGATGGTTGTGAGTTTTTAAAAAAATTTCAGGGGCTGATAGGGTGAAGTTTTTTAGGTCATGGGCTTTTTTTGGGTTTTGGAAAGGGGGATACGGAAACAGCTTTAAGAGTGAAGGGAAGTATCCCGAGGCAAGGGAGGCATTGAGGGGGTTTGTGTAGGCAGTAATTATCGGAAGGGGTTTTAGGATATAAGGTTTAGGCCGAGGGACCGGGCCCTTGGGGGGGAAGGGTCTAGGAAAAGAAGGGGGGGAAAAAAACATTTTAAAAGAGAAGAAGGGAGGGGGGGGGTTTTTTAAAACAAAAAAGCCAGGCAGGAAAAAGGGAAAAAAGGGAGGTTTGGTGGGTGAAGAGTTTTCCCCCGGGGTTTTGAAGATAAGAGAGCCCGGGGGGGGGTTTGTGGTGTATTGTTTTGGGGTGTGTTTAAAACCCAAAAACAAAACTTTAGTGTTTTTTAATGTTTATCGTTGTTGGGTGGGGTGGAAGTGTTTTGTGGTTTGGTTAGGCGGGGTAGAAAGTTTTTTTTGGGTAAGGGATTAATTGGGTTGGTTTAAAATTTTTGTAGAGGAAGCAGTTTTTTAGCGTAAATTGCTTTTGTTCTGGATGAGGGGTTTGGGTTTAAGAGGGTGTGAGTTTTTTTTGTAAGCGTTTTTGCTGCTTTTTGTAAAAGGGTTGGAGAATAAATTTTGGAGTATAAGAAAAATAGGTTTTTTTTGTTGGTCAAAGGTGAGGTTAGATTGTCTGTTGTTTTTGAAAATAGTCAGCGTTCTTGTGAAGGAAGGTGTGGCTGGTGGGAATAGGGTTGGGGGAGGGTAAGATGACTGGGATGTGATCAGAGCCTGTAATAGGGCCAGGTAGATGTTTGGGGTTTAAAAAGAGAGCTGGGTCGATTTTCCAGAAAGATGTGGGGTTTTCCTTGGCCCGTGTGGTTCAGAAGGTGTTAAGTTGGCCGAGATAATTAGGGGTTTATGGTTTGGAAATTGAGTAATTGGTGACCAAATTGGGGTTTTTACTGGGGTGATTTTGGGGGTTGGTGGTGAGGGGTAATGAGGGTGGTGGGTGGTTAGGTATGTGGGGGGGTGTTAGGGGGAAAGGCTGGGTAAGGTGTGGGCGTGAGGTCGTGGGGCTGGGCAAGGTGCGATTTTTGGGTAGTGGGGAAATAGTGTAGTTGTAGGCATGTGATGTAGGGGGAATTGTATGGGTGAGTTGTGTAGGGGTAGGTTGTTGGTTGGGATGGTGTGAATGAAGGTGTGTGACCATTGGGAGTTGTGTGGGGGGATGGGGTTGCTGGTCGGAATGATGTGGGTGAAGGCATGTGGACGTGGAGGAATTATATGAGTGAATGGTATGAGTGATGTTGCTGAGTGTGCAGCGAGGGCTTGTGGCCACAGGAGGGAGGGGGGAAAAGTTGAATGAGCACTTTTGTAATAATGCATACTTAAAATTTACCACGTAATAATCTATGTCTGGTCTTAAGAAATCTGTAAGGGCTAGAATTATTCTGCCCGAAAGGCACATGCATGCTAGTGGATTTCTTTTGTTTTTAGCAGTATTTTATTACATGTACACTACAACTTGTATACTGCACAAAGAAATAAAAAAAATTTTTTGTTTTTGTTTGGTGTGGGTGAAGGTGTGTGGCTGAGGTATGGTACTGAAATGTGTGAATGTAGCACAGGGGTATGGTATTAGATATGTATGAATGGAGCCCTGAGCCTCGCTGCCAGATACTCTAACCTTAACCCATCATACCCATTGCTAACAATTTTTACACCTACCTTCACCCATCCTATCATACATGTGCCCTCAGCCTCCTGCCCATGTGACAGAGGGCAGGACACCCATCTCCCACAGTTGTCCTTCACCCATACTCCCCACCATGCTTTCCCCCTTGCTCACCATTATTTCAGCTCTCCCCTCCACACTTTCGCCCCCTTCCCCATCATGCTTTCTCTCCTTCCCACTATTCCTCCTTCCCACTACACTTTCCCTCCTTCCCCATACACTTCCCTCCTTCCCCATCCATGCTCTCCCTCCTTCCCACATGCTCTCCTCCTTTCCCACATGCTTTCCTTCCTTTCCCACTATGTTTTCTCCCCCTTCCCACCATGCTTTACCCCCCTCCATCATGCTTTTCCCCCTTCCCCCATCATGCTTTCCCTCCTTCCCCACATTTTCTTGGAACATCCCCTACATTTGCACCCACCTCCCTCCCAACAGATTTTTACCACACGTCCACCAAAATGTGCTGCAATTTTGCAAAACGTGTTAACAGGTCGTATGTTATCCTACGGCTTACTGAACTGTTAATTTTTTTTGAAACATGACATGTTGTACATCAGCATGTGTTAAATGTCAGTTTCTCAAATCATTATTATTTACCATTTTTTGATTGGAGGACATGTCATTATATTTGTGGGGAAGATTCAAATCCATATGTCGGTACACATCACCTGGAGAATGGGAGGCAATCAGGTTTGATACAAGTAAGGATAGGTTAACTCCATTTCTGTAGATCAAGAGTTGTACAGTTGTTAAGGGGGAGACCCTCTTCCTTGAAGGTAATGAAGGACATTGAGCATATCTTTTTTTTTCATCCATTTGCATATGCTTGCCTGTCTTTTCAGGGATTTAGCTAAATTTAGCTCCTGGATCTCACTTTTTAATTAATAGGCTGGTGTAATTTTCTTCATTCTTTCGATATTACATATATGTTATATCTTATTTAACCCTTTCACTGTCTTGTGTAGATCGTCATTATTGATGCTGGGGTCACTTTTGTAGATCTACA